AAAAAAAAAAGAATCCACCTGCCAATGCAGGGGACACGGGCTCGATCCCTGGTCTGGGAAGATCCCACATGCTGCGGAACAACTAAGCCCGTGAGCCATAACTACTGAGCCTGCGTGCCGCAACTACTGAAGCATGCGTGCCTAGAGCCCATGCTCTGCAACAAGAGAAGCCACTGCAATGAGAAGCCTGTGCACAGCAATGAAGAGTAGCCCCTGCTCACCTCAACTAGAGAAAGCCTGCGCGCAGCAACGAAGACCCAAGGCAGCCAATAAATAAATAAATAAACAAATTTTAAAAAATAATAAAAAGAAAACACTCAGGATACTGGCCATGTGTTGACTAAATAAACATACCAAATGTATCACTAAATTAAACTGGGAGGGGGTATATAGTAAACTCAATCACCTAACACCCTATCAGACAGCACTATTAAAACAGGTATCCTATCTAGAATGGAAAAACTGATACAAAGGAGACAAGGAAAGGAGGGGAGGAAGGGGAGAGCACAACTCCCTAGATCAGGCTGAGAAAGAGACCTGTTTATACCAGTCTGCCCAAGAAGCTGGAGCTGCTGAAGGCCCCCACCAAGAAGAAGGGGGCAGCCTCCTCCTCCACCAAGATATCTTCCTAAGGATACAGCCCCAGCAGAGGCCATCTCTGCAGACCCCTCCTCTGTGCTCAGACCTGTGCAGGTGACCTCACAGGGAGGAGGGATATGTTCCCCAGAGCCTGGGGTTGTGCCTCAAACTTTACTGTGGGCCTGGCCCATAGGCAGGTGATCAGCAGGTCTGAAATGCACTGACTGGTTGGCTTCCCAGGGTGCCAAGAACTCAGCACAGGCCAAGGCCGGGAGGATGCCTTCACCAAGTTCCTGTGTTCCCCCCTCACCCTTCCCATATCCAGTCTTCACTGGCTTAACCTGGAGCAATAAACCTGATTTTGTCATTCAAAAAAATTAATAAACAAATAAAAAAGAATTTCCAGGTTCTAATTCTGTTTAAGCACTAATACCCTATGCATTATTTTAACTCTGTACAGCACTCAAAGAAAATGAAGATACATATGTAACTGAAAGATTAGTGAGATATACCTAAGTCTTCAAACCATAAACTGGACACCAGCACTGTGTAATTTTGAGGAGACAACCACCAGAGTTTTTAATGAGAGAAGACGACACATGGTTATGTGACCATCAACTCTGGTGGCTTATATGTTATTAATCCTCTTCTATGCCACTTACCAGAAAAAAGAGAAATCATAGAAAGCACTAATTCTATTTAAAAATTGAGAAGACACACTTCCTGGAAAAGGACAGAAAACCGAATAGAATGTTTATAAAATACAACTTGAAGGAGGGACAATCTAACAAATTATTTCTGTTCAGTTTTTTAAAATTTTTATTTCCTATGATTTCATGGCAAGTTTATCTTGATTTTTGCATCCTGAATGAGAATTAAAAAGAAAAATCCTATTTTCACCAGTATAAAATATCCAAAAGTTGTGTGGGGTAGGGGAAAGATCAAATAAGAAGACCCTACCTCCATCATTACTAACTTATCGGGATACGCTAGATCTCCAGGAGCTGGTTTATAGCCTGTGATGTCTGTCTGAATGTAGATGTGGGTTCGGTAGACAAGTCGCTCTTGTACATCTTCCAACATCTGCTTTACTCCAGCTGCAAATGCCCCCAACTGTTCAGCTGATAAAAAAGAAAGGTCAATTACCCATTCCTTCAGATTTAAAGAATACTTTCTTTAAACAAGCAAAAATATTACAAAATTGTCTAGTAATAGTATAAACCACTCTTGCTTCAGGGACTGGTTGTATTCTATTTTGGTATGACTTAATGACCTTAGAAAAATTTAATAAATGTCTTCCAATTTCCTCAAATTTAAAAATGGAAAATAAATTTGCCGTTACATCTTCTTCCTGGGACTCTGTGAAATAATTTCCATTATTAATGTGAATAATAATCTTATTTTTAAAGTGCTTTGTGTTTTTTTAAAAGGTATCTCTATAGCTTCATACCAATCCTGAGAGATAGCTAAAGCAGATTATTAATTAGGTTATTACCCCCATTTTACAGATAGAGTCCCACAGGTATTAAATGACTTGTTAACATTCTCACAAAGAAAAATGAATAAAAAAATAAAATGAGGGAATTCCTCAGCGGCCCAGTGGTTAGGACTCTGCACTTTCACTGCCGAGGGCCCGAGTTCAATCCCTGGTTGGGGAACTAAGATCCCACAAGCCGCGCAGTGTGGCCAAATAAATAAATAAATAAAATGAGATATGCGTTTGTATAGAATTTCTTCATTTCTAAGATGCCATCAATGTTAAGACTCACCAGTGATTCAGTATCAGCTTTCCAAGGGCTGGGGAGTTGGAGGCATTACACACTCATATAAATATTTACATTAATTTTAAAAATCATCTTTAATTCACAAGCATTAAAATGGGCGAAAATGTACATCTTAGAATGAACTAAATGCAATAGAATAAGAAACTCAGGAAGAGTAACAAACCTATAGTGTCTCGTAAGGAAAGTCAAAGTAAGGACAATAATTTCTGCCAGTAAAATGATTACCTGAAGGGTATTTTTTAAAGGTAGCTAAGTATCCCTAGGAAAATCATGTTTTTTATGACAATCAAACCAATTGTTAAAGCATGTATTAGATGAATAAAGTAGAGCTACTCCAGAGAATTGCTTTTCTTTATTTGTAATTTCAAAAAAGATGAATTATTACTATGTATGTATGCTAAAACAATTTCTGTTTTTTAAATTAAGACTATGCAATACAGTCAATTACTTTATGTACTCTGGTAATAGTGTACTAGAAATACCCAACCCAAAACTGGTCAGTTCTCTATGGATTTCAGATGCCAGAAAGAATAGTAACTATAATTATTTCATTACTAATTTTGCCCAGATTTAAAAATTCTTTCCCATTATTTAGTCACAGAATAAGGCGCACCTTGATTCAAAAAGAGACAAGGCATCAACCCAAGTTTTAAAAATATTGTTTATATAGGGATGGGGGGAGGTACTAATCTTTTTCAGATTCACTGAGCCATAGATATAATTAAAAAGACCTTTGAAATGATCATTTCTACTTATTTACCATTATTCTGTACATGGTCTTCAAGCACCTCATTTTTAAGAATCCCACAAAGTTCCGATAAAGTCTCTAAGTGAATAACGTGAATGATCAATGGCCTGAAGACATCATACAATGACACACACAGTTTCTCCAAAAGTTCACTAAAATGAAGGAATAAAACATGGTTATCAGCAGTAATCCTTTCAGTATTTCCTAATAGTTTAAAAGTCACCCTTGATTGCTTCCAGCCAAAAAAAAAAATATATATATATATACATATACTGGAAAATAGTATATGGGAACATTATATAATGAGAAGTGAAAGGCTGAAAGTAATTCTGTGAACTGTTTTTGCTAGAATCAATAATCAAGCTCAGAATTAATAAGCAATCCTCAACAATTAGCTGGCCCCAGCCGAATGTCAATTTATTACAACTTGTACTTATGTTAGCAATAATTTTGTGTATGTCCTTTCAAAAACAATAAAAAATATTTCAGTAGACTTAATTTTCCTTTTATAACCTACACCACTATGAATCAAATGGTGACATTTTCCCCAGGAAAGATAGGTTCAAAACTCTTGAATACTTACAGACTTAGATAAACAAAACTCAAAATATTCTGGACATACACCAAGTATTTTGACAATTTTAAACATTTGAAAAGAAAAACATTAGGCTGTCTATACTCTTTATATTGTCTTTATATATAGCATTTCATCAAAACCGTGAGATATATTTGTCTCTTCCCCTTTACAAGAGTCATAATCTTGGAATTTTTTAACAGTCAAAACCACCAATATGAAGAACCCAAAAGTGGCTGACAGTGGGTTTGAAAGACACTTTGAGAAAAATAAGGAAAGGGATTTTAAATAGTATCTACGTTTTTAAGTGTCCTTCATTAGTTAGAATCATAGAAGTTTTTAAATAGAAGGAATTATTACACTTAGTGTAGATAAAGGGATCTAGATACCAAGATAGTTCCCTATACAGGATTCTTACTATCATAACTTATTGTCTCCATAATTATATTATAAACAATATGAAAGCATGTTGGCCTTTAAGCTGCACATTTATTTCAAAATAAATAACCACTGTCCCATCCAACAATATTCTGTTCACATACCCACAAAAGTTAAAACACTCCATAGTTAACTTTAGAATACTCCTATAATATAATAAGCCATTACAGCCATTAGCGAATTAAATCTTAAAAACAAGAGTTAGATTCCATGTACCACCTACTCTAATTTTGATGTTGGTTTTGTAAAAAATTCGTTATAAAGTTGGTGCTCATCCTGGCATACATGAACCATAAAGGCACAGCCACTGCGAATCTGCAGGAAACAAACACACACCATCTATAGTTAGAGACACACAACAACTCCAGCGCTTATGAAACAAAGCCAACATTTTATTTACAAAGAGACTATGCATATATAATTCATAAAACAACTCCCTGAAGAACAGAAAATGGTTTTCTGCACAGTGGAACTATCGATGATTTTTATTTCCTTCTTTATGCTTTCTAAGCTTTTGACAATGAAAATTACTCTTCTAGTTGAAAAGTATTTAAAAGAATAATCTTTATGTATTTTTCTATAATCTGAAATAAAATCACACTAAAAACAGCACTTCTGCAGCAAAAGCTAACATTAATTTGTCTACATAAATCCAGAAACTTTGAAGCTTCATCTTTCAAAAAACAATACTAATTTGTGAATCTTCATACCTCAAAAAATCAATCAAAATGAGAATATTTTGCCAAATTGAATGCTAATTACTAAACGAGATTTGTCATAAAAGAAAGAAACATTCTGTAAGTTTGTTGATATGGGGACCAAAACTTATTTACCCAAGTATAGTTTCTAGGGTATCATAACAGCTCAAAAGAAGGTTTGACATTAAACCACAACAGGCAGAAACTCACCAAGGCACAGTGGTCTCTGTTATTCTGGCTGGTTAACTCTGTTACAGTACAAGTAATACTAGGGCCCAAAAGGAGTTCCCGCTGATCAAGGTAACACTGGTGAATTTCATTTAGCAGTTGTTGGTATCTGATGAAAAGCAAATGAGACTGGAGTACTGTACAAACTTCTGATTTCAGATATGTACATTAAATCCGATCTTAAATCCCAAAATAGGTTGCCAAACCTCCAAAGCTATATGGTTACTGCTCATTTGCCCACATTAAATACTAGAAATATTTATGTATACAAAGAAAAAACAAACCATAATGAACTACCATAACCTTTATCTTTTAAAGACAGATTTATCTTCCACGAGTAGTGATGTTACATCTACCTAAATGAGAAGGACATCCTGCTGTATGGGAAAAAGATGCCTTACAAACTCACCAAGTCAGGTCTATGACCTTGCTCCCCAAACTGAGCTGTGTGCTACAAGAAAAATCTTGTACAGCATGCAAGGTAATTGCTCAGAAAATATCAGGGACATAACAGACTTGGCAAAATAGCACTTCAAGGAAGGTAATCTGGAAATTGAAGAACCTGTGGGTACTCACTCAGGTATTTTTTCAGATCGTTGTTCTATTTGTTCGATGAGAGCCTGTGGAATAAAGAAAAGACCACTAACTCCATCTGTTTTAGTTATATTTTCAATTGCTTTCTGATTATAATAGTAACACAAGCTCATGTTAGAAAATCTGTGACTACAAAAAAGTTGAAACATGAAAATCACCTAAAACACAAAAAAATTAATCACAGTATTTCAGAATATTTTCTTTCAGTTTTTGTATGCACACAGTTACTACATTTTTCTTTTTAAACAAAACTGGAATTATACTATATATTCAGCTTTGCGATCTGCTTTTTTTTTAAAGATTTTTTAAAAAATTTATTTATTTAATTTCTTTTTGGCTGAGCTGGGTCTTGTTGCTGCACATGGGCTTTCTTCTAGTTGCAGCAAGCGGGGGCTACTCTTCGTTGAGGTGCGCGGGCTTCTCATTGCGGTGGCTTCTTTTGTTGGGAGCACGGGCTCTAGGTACACGGGCTTCAGTAGTTGTGGCACACGGGCTCAGTAGTTGTGGCTTGTGGGCTCTAGAGCGCAGGCTCAGTAGTTGTGGCGTACGGGCTTAGTTGCTCCATGGCATGTGGGATCTTCCTGGACCAGGGCTCGAACCCATGTCTCCTGCATTGGCAGGCGGATTCTTAACCATGGCGCTGTATCTGGGATTACACTGATTTAAAATATTGCACTGGTTCTCTACTTTTCCTGAATTAGCATGACATGCAACATCCTCTGTGAGATGGTCTTTGCCATCTTTCCTTTCTTCTTTCCTATCACACCCTACTGAAAGTCTTGTGTCCCAGTCTTAAATGAGGTCCTCCCAAAATACAAGTCTTTTATGTCTCTACAACTTTCCCTATACATGCTGCTCTCTCTGTATAAAATATCCTTATCAATCCCCTCAATTCTGCTATAAATCTACGTTTTTTTAAGCTCAAGTATCACCTTCAACTGGAAACCTTCCCTGAGCATTCCAGGAAGAGCTAGGTGTTTCCTCCTCTGTGGGCTTAAAGCACCTCAACATACACTGCTATAATGTGGAAGGACAAAGCCTACCTTTCATTCAGGTTCATTTTCCTGGTACAAACAAAGGACCTAACATACATTAGCATTTCAAAAGGGCTGGCTAAATAAATTTCATAGCATTATCTTATTTATGTCAATAGACTTACTCTGACTTTGGGGGCAGCAGCTCGAAATTTCACATAAAATAATGTGAAGGCATTGTCTGCATTAGGTACAGATGAAGGATCCTAAAGAAACATGGGGGAGGATAGGGAAGGAAGATAATTAGCGAACAAATAATTATTCAGAAAATGTAACACAAACCATTTCATATGGCTACTGCTTGGCCTATATACCAACCAAAAGCTTACAGAGAGAAAGATTAAATACTATTATTGCTACAAATGAGAAATAATTATGTGGAGCTGTCATCTCTCTCTACTTTATAATTAAAATTTATGCTATGTTACATGAATTTTGGTGGTAAAAAGACTGAACTCAGATTCATACTCAGTCACTTTCTGAGTGTAGGACTTTGGTCAAATTACTTAACCTCTCTGAGATTCAGTGCATCCATTAAATGGTGATAACACATACGCACAAAGGTTTTACACAGTTCGATTATAAAGCACTAACACATAGTAGGTACTAGTACTTATTAGGCATTAGTTTCCTAAAATAAAATTTTGCAAAATAGAAAAACTATATAGTCTGTTATGTCAGCTAAGAGCAACGTGAATGGTAAAATGCAATACAAAACTCAGTAGCTTTGAACTAAAAGCTCAAGATAGTCCATAATCTTTAGAAAGTAGGCTGAAAAAATCAAATAAATTATCTTTCAGGTTTTATTTTCTTAGGAAAGAAATGTGCTCAATGACCATCTGATCTAGCTCCACTCTTATTTTCTAACCTAACACGCCACAAATTTTCCACCTAGCATCTCCTAAAATCTGTAATTGAGTAATTTGTCTTTTTCCTTCTTTACTGATTATTTCTCCTGAACATAAGCTCCGTGAGGGCAGGGACCTTGTTAGCTCCTTTCACTATTGTACAGTTCTTAGTACAATGCCAAGCATTTAGAAGGCATTCAATAAAAATACATTTGCTAAATACAGAAAATTAAATTATCCATCATTTGTAAAGAAAGAAATTCAAATTATCTAGCATATGTAATTCTACCACTCAGACAGAACCACTTTTATTATTTTGGTGTATTTCCTCCTAATATTTTCTTTAAAAAGCTAGGAAAAGAAAAAGTTTAAGTGAGAAATAGTTTGCATCTTATTTTATTATTTATCATATAGTACTGAATATTTCTCACACTGTTATATATTCTTTGAAAATAAGACTGTGACAGACATATATAATATAGGCATTTTTTCTTATTATAAATAAAATTGCAACACATATTTATTTTAAAAAAGGTAAAAAAAAAAATTGGAGTTACTACATACTAATCTCAGACTAACATGGAAAATAAATGAATGAAAAAAACAAAGAAACACCTCACCAGTTAACTCACCCTTTTTAATAATTGACTTGTGAGGTTCTGTAGTGTGTTCACAGTATATGTCTTCATGAGGTGCAAAGCTTTAGAAAGACACTGCTTAAACTTCAGTAAATATACAGGATAATCTTTAAAATTTGGCTGTAAAGGAAAGGGAAAGGTTTACAAAGATGAAGCAAACTTTTTTTTTTTTTTTGCTGTACACGGGCCTCTCACTGTTGTGGCCTCTCCCCCTGCGGAGCACAGGCTCCGGACGCGCAGGCTCAGCGGCCATGGCCCACGGGCCCAGCCACTCCGCGGCACGTGGGATCCTCCCAAACCGGGGCACGAACCCGCGTCCCCCGCATCGGCAGGCGGACTCTCAACCACTGCACCACCAGGGAAGCCCGAAGCAAACTTTTAATGAAAACCAACCTGTCCTTTATGTAAAGTTATACAGAAAGTTCAAAAGAAGATCTTATGTAGACTGTAAGCTCCTTGAAGACGAATACTATGACTGTCTTGGTCATAGCCAAATTCCCTGTGCCTGGCACAAAGCAAGGGCTCAATAAATATTTGCAGTTTTTAGCAAAATATATTTTCAGTACCCCACGGACCTCAAGGCTAATATGTGAGGCCTAACTAAGAAAAGAACAGGAGTTGGGTGAAATAAATACAGCTATAAATCCTTGGAGGGCAGAAAGAGATGGTGATTAAACCAAAGGACTTGTCCTTTTATTTCCCCCCCCAAGTAATACTTTTTGTTTCCAAGGAAGTATCTAGCAAAAGTTAAGTCAACAGTCTAAAAATCACTAGTCCTTTTAGATGGGATAAAGTTGTGTCAGCCAGCCGCTTTTTCTATTCCAGGGGTTGCTGCAGCAGCTGAAAGTATTTTTTACATCACTACTCACAATGACTAAGAATTTACTATAGTTTTTCTTCAAATATATTACAGAAAGAAATGATATAATAAATGATATAATAGGGATGTTAAGATTTCTTTAAAACACACAGAAATACCATGACTTACATGAGATGATATGTATGTAATACAGTCATCTAACTTGGCCAGCATTGGTATAAATCCTTCACTATTCACAGACAGCGTGGGAGAATTCAATTTCTTTAAAGGAAAAAAAATTTTTTTACATTTTAAGAGTCACCAAATATACTCAAATGCAGCCCATGTGTAACAATACAATAAAGAAAGGACAAATTTAAAAGAATATGGATTGAACTCAGTTTACTCCTAATGACCTTTAATGGGGCTCTTCACGAATTAGCAAACACTTTATACTCCATTGCACAATGTTATATTAAAATAATACATCATGCACCTAGATTTCCCACTTTCTAGCACTTTACAACATAAATTTTCCACTTTCAAACACTGGCGATCTTCTCAAGGTTAAAAGATTAATTAGCAGTTATCATGTTCAGCAGTCATACTGAAAGTAAAATATAAGTAAACATATACACGTAGTACTAATATAAGGTAATATATAATATAAACATGATATTTAATATTTAATATAATAGATTAAATGATAAATATTAAAATATATAAAACTATATAATATATATAAAATATAAGTAAAATGACCCAATTATTTATCTTGATATACAAATAGTTTGGCAATGATTTATATTTCCCATTGCATTCCACTGTTAACTGGCTACTGGTTTTATTTCTAACTCTTTAGTAAACTATAATAATTTAGATTAATTTAATAATTTTAATAACATGATTTATTTTTTTTTTTTTTATTTTTTTTTTTTCCTTGCGTTATGCGGGCCTCTCACTGTTGTGGCCTCTCCCATTTGCGGAGCACAGGCTCCGGACGCGCAGGCTCAGCGGCCATGGCTCACGGGCCCAGCCGCTCCGCGGCATGTGGGATCTTCCCGAAACGGGGCACGAACCCGCGTCTCCTGCATCGGCAGGCGGACTCTCAAGCACTGCGCCACCAGGGAAGCCCTAATAACATGATTTATATGCAGTTATCATGATTAATTTATGAGCCAGAATACAGAGAAATATAATTTACACAGAAGTCTTTATTATGACTACCTCTTTGGGATCCAAGAATCCATTATGAGGACTACACTTTTCCTCAAACTAAACACGAGATTAGTTTAAGAAATATTTTAATTACTATTATAGAAGCACAACCACAGCAAGATTTAAAATGGAATATTTCTTCTTATAACCTTCACAGCTTACAAATATGATACTATAAGAGTTAACCAACAAAGAGATTTTAATAGCAAAAATACAATTTAAGAAGAACTATTATTTAAATCGTATTTGGAAATCTGAACTGGTAATGGTATGTCCATCACTCACAAATAGGAATATCTTAACAACAAGCAAACTATTAAGTTAAAATATCACTCAAGCCAATTTATAAGGTTAAAGATTATACTCAAAATGGGAAATATAAAATAAAGCCACTAATTCTAGAAAAAATAAAGAACAATGCTTACCGTGTTAATAGTTTCTAATTCATTAAAATAGGAAAGCTTTTGTTGAATGTTTTCAGCCAGATCAACAAGTTCCGACTTGAATTTTTTAAAAGAGAAAAGTCAATTATTATGAGAACATAAGAATCAACACTCCAGTCTCAAAATTACATCGAAGAGATTTATACTAGACATACAGGTTTATATTAGATATATGATTTCAGAATAATGCTCAAAGATTTCTGCAGTCATGGGCTAAAATAAGCAATGATTATTACAGTAAATTACATATCTTTTCATAAAATAACAGATGATTACCTTTTTAAAAACATACAAAATATACATAGATAAAATTCTGAGATAAGTACAGTAACTTAAATAGTCTATCTTTAAGTCACAAGTTTAAGTGCAACCTAGATCTGTTCATCTTTTCATAAACCCCACCATTAGTATAACCACTATGCCTTGTTTGAAAAGTGTCAATAAGGAATTCCCTAATGGTCCAGTGGTTAGGGCTCGGCGCTTTCAGTGCCAAGGACTGGGTTCAATCCCTGGTCGGGAGCTAAGATCCTGCAAGCCTCGCAGCGCATCCAAAAAAAAAAAAAGAAAAGTGTCACACATGTGAATATACCCTCTTCACTCTGAAACTGTACTGAGACCTAACAGCTCAAAACATACGAAAGCTTGCCCGTGCCCCTGCTGACATAAGCTTAAAAGCAGGCTGTCAAAGTAATAATTTGCATACTTAGCACAGGGCCTCATACAGAGAAGTGTTCAAAATATACTTGGAGAAATAAAGGAAATTAGAATTAAATTGTATTCATCTATTTAAAAATAAAATATTAAACATAGTCGCTGACACTCTCTGCTACTCCAAATTACCTGTTCTTTCAGGAGCTGTTCACAGGCTTCATGTAGAGCTCCTGTCTTATTGGACACAAAATGATACTGTTTCTGCAATGATTCCAGATGCTGAAGAGCATTGTTGACATCATTCAATATAGCATCACACTGCTCCTGAAACCCAGACAAGTAATCCCTCATCTGTCTAGAAAACAGAACCAAAAGGGGATTGGCAATAATATTTTCCCCCAATAAGCATAGACAATAAACAACAAAGTCTCGTTTTCCCCCAAATGCTTGCATTTCAGAAGGGAAGTCTGACCTATTCAAAAAGTTTATTATATTCAGAAATATAGCAAAAACTATGTCACAAACTGTTTCAGTACTTAAGAAGGAAAATGACTGAAACTATGAGCAATAAAAGGTATCAGCCTTAAAGCCATAAACTGGCTTTTCACATGTAGGGCAATAAATCATGGGCTCAACTTTCAAAGACTGGGACACCAGGTCCATCCCAAGGTAACAAGGAGGTCCATCCTTCAGGTCATGTCTGCCTTTGAGAGATGGTGTGATGTCATGGAAAGAATTTTGGACTTCGAATTGGAAGACCTGAGTCCAAGTCCCAGCTCTGCCCAAGTCTCCATGACATTAGGCAAGTATTTAATAGCTCCAGGCCTCAGTTTACTCATTTGTAAAATGGGAATAACACCTTTCCTTATAGAGCTGCTATGAAGATTAAATGGAATCATACATCAAAGAGCCTAACACAATGCCTAGCAATAGTAGTCACTTAATTAATGTTAAATGAATACAAATGTTCAACCCACGGTCCCCAAATCAGCTAGAAACAGTACAGTCACTTCCCCCATGCCGTCAATATACACAAACAAAACAACATAGTTCACACCCTGCCTAGCTGGCCATCCCTAAAGTCTCTTGGGTCTCTCCCTCTAAAGAAAGGCAGCAAACACCTCTTAGAGTTCCTGACAAAACTCCCACTTGATTCCAAGCCTTTCTAGAGTTATCTAAAATCAACCTCTGCCCCTCCTAAACTATTCATTACAATGTGACTTTTTTAAAAATCACACAACTTCCAATACCAGTTGGAATGACCCACATCCTTTCTAGCTATTCTTAAAGAAAATGTTGCTGTTGAAGTTTTCTTTGTACCTTAATTTTGTTTAAAGGCACAGATAATGAAATGCTTAAGATGATCTAAGGATTAGGACAGCCAGCAAATATAAGAGACACATACCTATATTTAGTTCCTTCATCCTGATCCATCTGAGTTTGTAGCTTTGCAAACCATGAGAAAAACTGGAAAAATAGGGTATTATGTTGTCAACAAAACTAAAACAGACAAAATGAAAAGTGGCTACATGCTATACAGCAAGTCAAAAGGGTAGACACTAAGTCTTACTGTTTGGGGCTCAGACATTAATAGCTTTAAGCCAGAAGATGACAATTTAATTGCATGGTCAGTGTCTACATTCCAGGAAAAGCAAAGTATCTTAAAAACACGGGCCATTTTCAAAGTTAAATAAGAAAGAGTATTAACACGATAATATGTAGAAATAAACATTTCTTCCTAAGAAGCTAATGCCTACCTGCTAGTTTTCCAAATTTGAGTAGGTAACATAGGGCTCTGGGTAAATATTAATGTTATCTAATAATAATTGTGAGAATATACGCTCAGAAATAATATAAAGGAGTGGTTTAAAAACATAGCTTTTGCATCAGCCAAACCTGGGTTTGAATTCTGGTCCTACCATCAAGTTGTATACTTAAAATGAGTACATTTTATTGTATGTAAATTATAACAATGTATTAGATCTTTTTTTTAATTCAAAGAGAGATATCCAAGTGCAAATTTAATCCAGAAGATCTTTTTTTTTTTTTTTCAAATAGTCCAAGTAAATTCACAGACATGGTGCAAGATTATCTTCTATAATTCTCAAGGGGGATTCGAAGTCAAAGGTATGCTTTATTCTCTCAAGATACTACTCTTGCCAAGTACCTTGGCTTTCATTGCCTGAACACTGATTGTGTGCTTGGCACACACTGCATTTACATGCATTATCTAATTTAATTCTCACGAAAAGTCCTATGAGATAAGTATATAATTATCTTTGTTTTACACATTAGGAAACAAGAGATCTGAGAAGATAAGTAATTTGCCTACGCTCACAAAGATGGTAAGTGATAGAGGTGACCTTCAGATCCAGGTTGGTCTAACTCTAGAGCTAGAGCTCTTCATCACTTTGCAGCACTGCCTCTCTTGACTTAGTGCAGAGGTCCCCAACCTTTTTGGCACCAGGGCCCGGTTTCATGGAAGACAATTTTTCCATGGACCCAGTGGCGGGCAGGGGGGGATGGTTTCAGGATGATTCAAGTGCATTACATTTACTGTGCACTTTATTTCTATTACTATTACATTGTAATATATAATGCAATAATTATACAACTCACCATAATGCTGACAGGAGGCGGAGCTCAGGCGGTAATGGGAGCGATGGGGAGCGGCTGTAAATACAGATGAGGCTTCGCTCGCCCGCTGCTCACTTCCTGCTGTGCAGCCTGGTTCCTAACAGGTCACGGACCACTACCAGTCCATGGCCCGGGGGTTGGGGACCCCTGACTTAGTGTATATGCAATTCAGCTATTCTTAAAGAAATATGTTTATGTTTCACTTGGTAAAGAAATATGTTTATGTTTCACTTGGTAAATGCCTTAGCTTTGATTCTTTTTTTTTAATTGAAGTATGGTTGACGTACAGTGTTGTGTTCGTTTCAGGTGCATATGGCACAGTGATTCAGTTTGTGTGTGTGTGTGTGTGTGTGTGTGTGTGTATCTGTTCTTTTTCAGATTCTTTTCCCTTATAGGTCATTACAAAATATTGAGTATAGTTCTCTGTGCTGTACAGTAGCTCCTTCCTCAGCTTTGATTCTTAAGAGGACAGAAAGATGAGACAGAGGAAGCAGCAGAAGAAACTATTGTACATTTAAGTTTATAGCTGGGAATAAGCGAAAAACAAGAGATTTCACATGCTAAATTTCAGAAAAATAACTATAAGTGTTCGTCTAAAGAGCATATTGAGATTTTTAAGAAAGAAATTACCCAGCAGCAAGCAGTGAGGGGTGCGGTTGGGGGGTCTGCATGTGTGCATGTGTCCACGCACATGCATGTTGGGGGACACATTAACACAGACACATACTGGGAGGAGGTCTAAAGGGCATAAAATATCAAAACCTTAATAAATATAATAGTCTATCCAAACTTGGAATAGCATATTTTTATCTGTACTGCAAATAAAACTGGGCAACAGGTTCGTTTAAAACACTTAAGAAATAACCACAACTAACACAAAATCAAAAATGTTCTAGAAAGAGACACAGCTTTGGGAAAGATCACTGGCGTTCTCCTTACTTGGTGCAAGTAATATATCATTCTTTCTCCAGCCCCCCCCCCCAAAAAAACAAGATGTTCTAGAAAGACTTTAACTACAGTTTCAAATGTTCAGAACTTTTAATTAGGACCTCTGTCTTGAGACATTTAAAACAATCAAATATCCTTAGAAATAATGCTGCCATTCACCTGCTGTGCAGTTTCAATTCTTTCTTCTTCCATTTCTAAGGAGGTGAATCCCCTCAAGAGAATGTCTTCTGTAGATCCAGGCACTATTGAAGCCTGTGCAATGGGCAGCGACTGGGATGTTAAACTGCACAAGTCTTCAATTGGGAGCTTGAAAAAAAAAGAGCCACAAAGATATTCAAATAACTTGAAAATTCTCTAAACTTAACTCAAGATTGGTATTCCATCTCAGGTGTTTTGAAAGAGAAAGAAATGTTTTCTGTTAAATCGTCTGATGTTAACAAGTGCCATATGATACTAACACTTATAACTAGGTTCTCTCTATATTAAATGCTGGTCTCAAAATATAAACATGACACCAATACCCAACCATTTGCAGAGTATGGTTTTTGAGTTACCTTTTGAAAACTGGTGGTGAATCTGTACTAATCCACACACCTTTTCCTACTGGAACCTCTTGTGAACTAGCACAAGTCAAAGGCAAAACCTGCGTGCTAATGAAAGTAGCTGGCCCTCTCCATTATCAACACAAAAGCCTCACCTCATTAATAGAAACAACAGAAAACAAATCGTATCCAAGAATCAACTACCAACAACTATATCCCCTTCTACTATTTCTACACTGCTGCCACACTTCACCCACATCTTCTTGCTGACAAATTCTGAAATTACAACTGAAAAGAAAGAATTTCAGGATTTCCCACCAGCTTCAGAAGAGCCTCACCTGGACGCCATCAGACCTACAATACTGTCTAGTTTGCCATTACTAGAGATATTCCAGGTGTTCATTTACCTAGGGTCATACAGACAAGCTGTTTTTGGACTTAAAAGAAAGGGAGTGTGAATGCTGGGGAAGGTAAAAGGGTGGAATTATTTCGTTTCAATCCCACTTTCTGCCCTTAAGGCATGACATCTAAGGTCTAGCAATAAAAGACCTTAATCCAAGGCCTTAGGAAATTGCCTCCTGTCTACTTTTCTAGATACAGAAATTTCAGCTGAAGACAGTATTTTCTCTTCAAAGCTAAAATAAAATAAGCTAGATGCAAAGTGCACCATCATTAATTTAGAAACACAAACCTTTAAATATGGGGGGAGGGTATTCCCTGGTAGTCCAGTGGTTAGGAGTCAGGGCTTTCACTGCTGTGGGCCCAGGTTTGATCCCTGGTCTGGGAACTAAGATCCTGAGAGCAGTGCGGCATCAAAAAGAAAGAGACAGAAAAAGAGAGAGAGAGAAAGAGAGAGAAAAAGAAAGAGAGAAAGAAAGAGAGAAAGAAAGAAAGAAAGAGAAAGAAAGAAAGAAAGAAAGAAAGGAAGGAAGGAAGGAAGGAAGGAAGAAAGAAAGGAAGAAAGGAAGGAGGAGAGAGAGAAAGAGGAAGGGAGGGAGGGAGGGAAGGAGGGAGGGAGGGAGTTTTGTGTCTGGGTTCAAGTGGGGCTGCACCTTCGGGCGCGGTAAAGCAAATCACAGTGCGGCCTGGTTTGAACCCTGCTCACTTAATAAGTGTGTTACAACGGGCAAATTACTTAATGCTTCTAAATCTCTATTTCTTCTCTGTAAAACAGGAATTACATTATCTGTATCATGAGGCCATTGTGAAATGAAGAAAACACAGGTGTAAGAAAACAGGCTCCTTGGACCACTGGGAAGCTGCAAACAGAAAAAAAGTGTTCAGAAAGGTCCTCAATCTGCTTTCTCCCAGGAGGGTCCTGGATGTACAGAGATATGTCTTACTAAGGGCATCATTGTTCAACATAAACTCTTCCTGAATAGTGACACAATCCCTGAACAGAAAAGGACTGTTGGGCAGGAAGAATTAAGTTTCTGAAATCTGATGAGAATCTATCTTGACTCTAACGTGTCACCAGCAACGGTGTGTTGCCACCAGAGGTTCTGAGGACACAGGAAGTTGAGCTGAGCTAAGCCTACCTGCTCATGCTCTGTGCAACCATCCAGTTACCAACAACAAGCTGTCTTCTCGGAGACAATGCTACATGTATTTAGCATAATGCCTGCCAAATAATACACACAATCAACTGGAGCCGCTTCTATTTATCATATGATTATTCCTACTTATTAGTAGTAACAAAGTAAATTTATTTCTTTTAATTAATTTATTTTTATTGAAGTATAGTTGATTTACAATGTTGTGTTAGTTTCTTGTGTACAGCAAAGTGATTCAGAAATATGTGTGTGTGTGTGTGTGTGTGTGTGTGTGTGTATATATATATATGTATCTTTTTCAGATTCTTTTCCATTATAGGTTATTACAAGATATTGAATATAGTTCCCTGTGCTATATAGTAAATCCTTGTTGTTTATCTATTTTATATATAGTAGTTTGTACCTATTAGTCCCAAACTCCTTATTTATCCCTCCCCCACTTTCCCCTTTGGTAACCATAAGTTTGTTTTCTATGTCTGTGAGTCTGTTTCTGTTTTGTAAATAAGTATTTGTACCACTTTTTAGATTCCACATATAAGTGATATCATATGATATTTCTCTTTCTCTGTCTGACTGACTTACTATGATAATCTCCAGGTCCATCCATGTTGCTGCAAATGGCATTATTTTATTCTTTTTTATGGCTGAGTAATTGTATATGTGCCACACCTTCCATATCCATTCATCTGTCGATGGACACTTAGGTTGCTTCCATGTCTTGGCTATTGTAAACAGTGCTGCTGTGAACGTTGGGATGCATGTATCTTTTCAAAGTAGAGTTTTCTCCTGATACATGCCCAGGAGTGGGATTGTTGGATCAAATGGTAACTCTATTTTTAGTCTTTTAAGGAACCCCCATACTGTTTTGCATAGTGTCTGCACCAATTTACATTCCCATCAACAGTGTAGGAGGGGTCCCTTTCTACAGTAAGTAAATTTACAAATCAGAATCTATACTGCTTCTTGGGAACAGAATTGTCTAAGTTACCTTTACAAAATTATAGTTTATTAGCAGTAAAATTTAGTTATATATGAACAGATCATGACAAAATTCAAACACATAATTCTATCAGCACTGTTTACACGACACCTAAGGAGGAAAAGGGAGAGAGACATGGATCAGGTGCAGATTTGAAAAATATACCAGAAAGCACATGGAGACTAGGCTAAAAGAATGCTAGACAGAGTGTTGCTAGCACCTTAATAATAAGAAAAAGACAAATAATCTACAAAATCAGGTTCTTGAAGCCATCAGAGAGTTGAGGTTCCAGAGAAACAAAGTAGCTTAAAATCTAGAAAAAGATGGGTATCTCCAGGCAGAGACAGAGTGAGAGCAAGGGCTTACTGTGGCAGATTATGGAAAAACAGATGACAAATGCCACACAAGTAGGTAAGAATTAGGCTAAAATTTCTTTCAAATTACTAAATGCAAGAGGATGGGTGAGTACAGAATGCTTGGAAGTCACAGACACAAGGGGAGTTTGCACCCACTCACATGGTCTTCACGGACCTCCACCAGGTGCTCATGAGAAAGAATGAGGACTGGTGGTGCAGGCTTAGAAGAGGAGGGGCCTGGGGAAAGTGGGGCACAAAGCCCCATCCAGACCCTTCTCCCCAGTGGAACAAAATCTTAAGACACTGAAAAAAGGGCAGCAAGCCCTATCAACCCTAGGGCACAGAGGAGAACACACTACAGCTGGGGAAAGGGAAAAGAAAACAACCATTACCCCTGGAGGAGACGCAACAAAAGAACCCAAGACCCAGAACATCAGAGGGCTCCTACTGCCGGAGGAGGGCGGAGTCAGTGAGAAACTCCACCCCTGAGTCCCAGGGGCAAAAGGCCTGCCTAGGGCTTCCCTGGTGGCGCAGCGGTTGAGAGTCCGCCTGCTAATGCAGGGGACACGGGTTCGAGCCCCGGTCTGGGAAGATCCCACATGCCGCAGAGCAACTAGGCCCGTGAGCCACAACTACTGAGCCTGCGCGTCCGGAGCCTGTGCTCCGCAACAAGAGAGGCCGCAATAGTGAGAGGCCTGCGCACCGCGATGAAGAATGGCCCCCGCTTGCCACAACTAGAGAAAGCCCTCGCACAGAAACTAAGACCCAACACAGCAAAAATAAATTAATTAATTAATAAACTCATACCCCCAACATCTTCAAAAAAATTAAAAAATATATATATAAAACACCAAAACTGAGGTGAGTGTTCCTGTGACCAAAGGGAAATCGTGGTCTTAACAGGTTGAGAGTCCGCCTGCTAATGCAGGGGACACGGGTTCGAGCCCCGGTCTGGGAAGATCCCACATGCCGCAGAGCAACTAGGCCCGTGAGCCACAACTACTGAGCCTGCGCGTCCGGAGCCTGTGCTCCGCAACAAGAGAGGCCACAATAGTGAGAGGCCTGCGCACCGCGATGAAGAATGGCCCCCGCTTGCCACAACTAGAGAAAGCCCTCGCACAGAAACTAAGACCCAACACAGCAAAAATAAATTAATTAATTAATAAACTCATACCCCCAACATCTTCAAAAAAATTAAAAAAAAAAAAAAAAAAAAAAAAAAAGGCCTGCCTAACACTGAGACTGGACGCAGATGATAGAAAACGCCCACCTACCACCACCAGGCTATAGAGCGCCAGCAATGCTCTCCTGTGGGAGGGGCAAGAGCACAGACACCCTCTGAGACACAGGCGCACGGCACACCAAAAGCTGAGGGTTGAGAAGGAAGGTTAAGAAGACCTCGCAGCAGCCCAGCCCCAATGCTAGGCAAAAAGTAATGAAAGAGAAGTCTGAAGCCAGTGGTAAACTAAAGGCAACCAGAACAAAAACAAAACCCAAACCTAGCCCACTAACCCAAATCTCCACACTAATGACCTAATAGAGTAAGTGTATTCATTTCCAGGCATTCAGCCTATTTCCCTCATTCTCAAATGTCCTGCATACAATGTACAGTATTTGACCAAAAGTTACATTAAACAGCAAGGAAAATAACCCAGCTCATTGTCAAGAAACGAAGCACTCAACAGAGCCAGACTCAAGAGATGACCTGGATACTGGAACTATATAACTGCGACTAATACGTCAAAGGCTCTGGTACGAAATATAAATAAAATGAATGAACAGATGCAGAAGTTAAGCAGAAAAATAAAAACTATACATGTCCAACAGAAATGCTGGAAATAGCCATTGTTGTAACAGAGGTGAAGAATACCTGCAATAGACTCATCAGTACACTCAACACAGCTAAGGAAAGAATCAGTGAACTTGAAGATAGGTCAATAAAAATCACCCAAAATTAAACATAAAGAAGAAACAGAGTGGACAAATAAAAACTGAACACAACATCCAAGAACTGTGGGATGGCATAAAATGATCTAATATATGTGTAATCTGAATCTCAAAATAAGGAGAGAGAGAGAGAACAGTGTAGAAGAAATATTTAAAGAGATAATAGTTGAGAATTTTCCAAAAATAATGAAAGACACAAAGCTACAATTTTGAGCTGAGAAAATCCCAAGCAGAATGCACATGCATGTGTGCGTGTGCACACACACATACCACCCCTAGACACATCACATTCAAACTCAGAGAGAAAATCAAAAGTCATAGAGAAAACCTTAAGGCAGTCAGAGAGAAAAAGATACATTATATACAGGGGAACAAAAATAAGAATTAAAGCAGACTTATCAGAAATCATGCAAATCAAGGCACTTCCCTGGTGGTCCAGTGGGTAAGACTCCCGAGCTCCCAATGCAGGGGGCCTGGGTTCGATCCCTGGTCGGGGAACTAAATCCCACGTGCATGCCGCAACTAAGAGTTCACATACCACAACCAAGAAGCCCGCATGCCACAACTAAGACCTGGCACAGCCAAAATGAATAATTTTTTTTAAAGCTGCTTTTTAAAAGCTTATGAGGGAGTTCCCTGGTGGTCTAGTGGTTAGGACTCGGCACTTTCACTGCCACGGCCTGGGTTTAATTCCTGGTCGGAGAAATGAGATCCCGCAAGCCACGCAGCATAGCCAGAACAAAAAAAAAAAATTTTTTTTAAATAAAAGCTTATGAGAAGATGCCCCCATTAGGTACATTTGCCCAGCTGTCTTCTTTCCTCAAAGCACCTGGAATAGAATGGCAAATCAAGAAGGGTGTGCTGCAGGGAGATCAGCTCGGTGCTTTGTGACCACTTAGAGGGGTGGGATAGGGAGACACAAGAGGGAGGGGATATGGGGATATATGTTTATGCATAGCTGATTCACTTTGTTATACAGCAGAAACTAACACACCATTGTAAAGCAATTATACTCCAATAAAGATGTTAAAAAAATAAAATAAAATAAATGGTAGAACTATTAAAAAAAAAAAAAAGGGTGTGTTGGTGTCACAAACTTCCCTGTTCTGACTACTCTTTCACTCCTGAAGAGATGTTGACCGAATGCCTCTGGCTTACTCGCACTGTCCTGGCTTCCAGATGGAGCAGACATTTACCAACAGAGAGAGAAGAGCAGAGAACTAGGCTCCTGGTTGGTCCTGGATAGCTACTGTACAGCTTACACAAATGGGGACACTAACATATTAAATACTAATTACAATAAACTATCAAGCCTTGCCTGACCAGCTGAGCAGCTCCAGGAAAAAACAAGCAAATATACCTTTCTCTCCCAAACTTTACTTCTTGCACAATTCTGGGTTGGAGAAAATCACTTTTTTAATCAATCTAATAAATTCATTCCCTAAATGAAACCTGACGTTACCTACTCTGTTTGGAGCAAATCATTGAAGAGGTATAGATGGAGTCTCAGAACCTCCCTCCAGGCACCTAACCTCTTCTTTTCTTACCTCTGGTCTGAGTGACACCTACACAGTACCAGCTTAGGATCATAACATTCTAATCTATTCTTTTAAGGTAATAATCATTTGGGGAGAAAAGCACATGAATAATATAATACTGGCAGGTAGCTTGCTGTGTGCACTTTATATACTTGATTTAGTTCTCACAACTCCCTGTGATGCAAGTACTAATATAATCCCCATTTTATAAAGAAGAAAACAGGCTCAGAGAAGTTAAGTATCATGTCTAAGGCCACACAAACTTTACGAAAACAACTGCAACAGTAAATTACAGGTAAATTTCAGGATAAATTATCTCAGCATTTTGTCGAGAATTACTAAACTCAGCAGAAAGAAAAAGGCCCTCACTACTAAAAAATTTGCCCTGGCTACAAGAAACCAGTCTACTTAATATTCTACTGCAAATTTTCTTATCTAACACCAAATAAAAAGGTATATAAGACTAGTTCTCCTAAATAAAAAGGAAAGCTATAAACAGCTTCATGATATTTGCTGAGAGTTAGCTGGCCTCTTGCTATTCAACTAACTTGCCCAGTTCCAGTTGTTCAGGATGTAATTTATCTCCTGGAAATTGTGAAACACGACAGAAAATCCTTTACAGGTTTTTATTTTGGTTGGACAAAATAAAAATTGAGGCATTCTTTCTCAGCGCCAGTGTTTAAAGAGTGGTAACAGGGGGCTTCCCTGGTGGCGCAGTGGTTGAGAGTCCGCCTGCAGATGCAGGGAACACGGGTTCGTGTCCCGGTCCGGGAAGATCCCACATGCCGCGGAGCGGCTGGGCCCGTGAGCCATGGCCGCTGAGCCTGCGCGTCCGGAGCCTGTGCTCCGCAACGGGAGAGGCCACAACAGTGAGAGGCCCGCGTACCGCAAAAAAAAAAAAAAAAAAAAAAAAGAGTGGTAACAGGGATAAAAAATTCAATTCCAAAGTCTTCCCACCAGACATATAAAGGAAAAAGAGGGCTGTCAAAAACTGAAGAGCAATGAGAAATTCCCCCTCAAAGATTCCAGGATGGATAAATAACAGGCTGGCATTTCATTCTCACAGCAATCCAATGCCAAGGCTGCATGTACCAGAAGACCCTCACTGAACCCTTGAACTTGTCAAGCTCATCCCCTACCCAGGGTTTTGCACTGCTTTTTCCTCCAGCTGTAAGGTTATTTTCTCTAGTCTTTCCAAGACTGGCTTCTTGTTTTCCATCATGAGTTCTCACCTTAGGCGGTTACTTTCTTAGAAAGGCCTTCCCTCTTTATCTAAAAGGGCACACCTCATTCCTTGGTGTCATATCATCCTGTTTGATTTTTCTTATATCCTGGACTACCGTCTGAACTTACCTTCTTTGTTCTTTTTCACATGCTCATAATCACCATAATTATGTCAGCTCCATGAGGCTAGGGATCTTGTTTTTCTTATTTTTCCATCCCCCCCCCACTCCCAGCCCCAGGTAGGCACATAATATATGTTAAATGACTGCACGGGGCTAATGGTAGGTATTATGCTACATAAATATCAAATAATGGGGTGAAAATGAAGAGATCTCATTTACTTCACTCCAAACCCTTTCCTTCATGCTCAGTGGGAATAATATTTTATGACCCAAGATATTAAAAATAAAATGGGTCACTTTTCTTACGGAATACATTCACCACAGGTACTGTGACATCCAAGCATCCTGCTTTGGTGAGAGGCCAAATCAATTGTAAATAGACTGAAATATTTATAGAGCAAACAACTTCTATTGCCCAGAGCATAAAAGACTCTGATAGCCATGCCAAAACAAATTTCCAACTGCTTCCTCATTTATTTCAAACACACTTCCAGCACAGAATCCTAGAGGTGGACAGAGAAACCCAAGAAAGAACACCTGTACTTTATGGCAGAGTGTGCAACGGCGAAAAGTGGCGAGAACTTTCAAACCAAAGTTCTTAACCTCTGAAGTGTGAGGGCAGAAAAAGTTTAAGTCTCTAAACTCGGTCTGCCTTTGGACACAACAGTGTAAAGAGAATGCTTCCAACATCAAAAGTAACCATCAGCGCTAATAAAATAATAACCGCCTAAACCTAGCCCTCAAAACTAGAAAAAGTTTGTCAAACATCTGACTACTCATAAAATGTACTTCTTGCTATTATAACTAATTGAATTAAATCACACAAGCAGTATTAGGGATTATATCCCAATGGCAATTAGGATTAAAAACGTTGACACTAAAACCGACAACCAGCATTATCTAATAATGTACTGACCCAGCTTTCAAAGAAAAATTTTTATTGCTTTGCTGTAAGTCAAATATAAATCGGATTTCCCACAACCTGCACTTGATCGAGAGCTCATTGCTCAATGTGCGAGGAATGAAGCTGTCACCCGGGATCAACTTTGGTCTCCCCAAGTGCCCCTATGGAAAAAGGAAGCTGGGCTATTCATGAAGGTGGTAAACAAATACCAACAGGAGGCTGTGCTGAAGCAAAGCACTTCGGGTTCAGTGTCTTCTCCTTCCGGGAGAGGGTGGAGAGCAGGACTACGCCTCGCTAACACCAGGGACACCCGGGGCAAGATGCCCGGGGCAAGGCTCCCGGACAAGCGCCCCACGCCGCAGGGGGCGGGCTGTGCGCCGGCGGCCGGCAGCCGTCCCCACGCCGGAGGGGAGAGTCGGTGGTCCGGGACAACGTGAGGCCTGACAGTCCGGGAAGGTGAGGGGCCTCTCCCACCGGAGCCGACACTGTGATGGGGAGGAGAGACCCTGGACAAGGGTCCGCAAGGTCGGGGTCCGCCGGCGCGCCCGCGGAGTAGCCCAGCCCCCGCCCGTCACCTCACCTCGGCGGGTACGGGCAGGTCCTCGGCCGCCGCCTTCAATTCCAGCACCGAGTCCGTCTGCCGGTCGGTCAGCGGCGCTGTCGTGTCCGGTCTCCCATCCCAAAGAGCCAGCTTCTCCCGAGCGTCCCGCTCCGCCGCCGCCTCCGGCTGCAGTAGCAGCGCCGCCTCCGCCATCGCCGCCGCCCCAGCGGCCCGCAGCAGCAGGGTGGAGGTGGGAACCCCGACAGAGAAATGTCCGGGGCACTTCCGGGAGAACCGGGTCTTCCAGCACTGCACCGGCGGCGGGGCGGGGCGAACCGGAATACCCTGACCCCGGAAACGCTTCCCCCCGCGTGGGCGGGACTGAGGCCAGGACTGACGTGGCTTTAAACGGGGTACAAGTATTTCCGGTTGGGATGTAGACGGAGAGGGCGAAGGATATAGGCCCTAACGGAAATAGACATGCCCCTACCAGAAGTCCCTTCCTCAACATCAATAACTTTATTGTTAATATTGTTACTGACAACTGTGTTCAGTGACCCTGCCGGCAGGGGCCTTCGTGAGCCCCGGCATCTACTGCTTTCTGCTCACAGCCTGGTAGTCCGGGTAGGTGTGTGGACTGATTTCCGTGTTGACATGTTGCCAGTTTTCACAACTTTTCAAACATCAATAATTCCGCTGTTAGAAATCTAATTTATGAAAACACATAAAAACTCAAAGAGTTATATATATCAGACATCATAAATAGTATCAAATAACCACCTGAACGTCCAACATTGAAGAACTGGATCAATAATTCATGGCACAGACGTGTAATTGGAATACTGTTCTGCCATTTAAATCATGTTGTAGATTTCCGCAACAAAATAAATAATGATTGTATTGGGTCATAACCTGTAGAATAAATACCCATGAGTCCATACTGATATAAATAAATGACTGAATAAATAAATAGGGGAGAAGAGACAACTCCACCTTACTGAAGAATTCCAATCAATAAATGTAGAAAGAATGAGGGGAAAGAAATCATTAAGGATACTACGGTAATGATTATAGCAGGCAAAATCTAAGGATGGATGCTAAAATTAGTGGGTGAAAGTCTGAGGAGAAACAGAAATTTGCATGGCATCTCTCCAAGATATCTATTAATGGGGGGGAGGGGAGGGTGGCTGTTAACTTTACAGTGGAGAAACCTGGAAGACATCCCCCCTTAACCAAATGATAAAGGTCAACATCATCACCACGCAACTCCTAATATGATATATCAAGAAGCACACAATATTTCTTTTGTGATATTCTTGCCAGAAATGCAAAACCACATTCTAATTATGAGAAAACATCAAACAAATTCAAATTGATGGACATCCTACAAAACAATTCACGAGTACTCTTCAAAAGTGTCAAAGTCAAAAAAAAAAGTGTCAAAGTCATAAAAGACAAGGAAAGATCGAGGAAATGTTACCTTTTGGGGATGAGGGAGACATGACAAGTAGATGCAATGTGGGAGCCTGGATTGGACCTTGGGTCAGAAAAGGGAGAACTACAGAATAAAATACAGATATCCAAATAAGGTTTACAGTTTAGACGACAGTAGTGTACCAAAGTTAATTTCCCAGTTTTGATTGTTGTACATGATATAGTTATGTAAGATGATAACATGAGGGGAAGCTGGATGAAGGGCACATCTGAATTCTGTAATACTTTTACAGCTTTTCTAAAGTCTAAAATTATCTCAAAGTCAAGAGTTAAAATTCTCATGTTGTAGAAAATATTTATCTCCTTGGAGAAATGATATAATTAAGAAGAATGAAACAGTGTATCATCCTACTGACCAAAAGAAACACTTCCAAAATATTCATAGATGGTTAGAATTACTAATAATTATTTTCTTCCTTTTCTTTTTCTTTTTTTTTTCAATGAGTTTTGCATCTAAGCACAAGGGTGTTTGTTTTAATTAGTATACATAAAACACACTTCGTCCTTTTCAGGCCAGGCTGATTCCAAAAATCTCAGAAATGAATTTTAGCCTGTTGAGTTTTGTGATGACAATTCTTCACCAAACATCATCCTTCAAGGGCCAAATATAAGCATCTTCTCTCATAAATGTGCTTCTACTGCAGATATTCCTAAACCTATAATCATACTACTTTCTTCTAAACATTATGTTTGATTTCTTAAAATATTTTTCCCAACTGATGATTCATGATGCTAAAGGGAGTGGGACAAGGCTGAATGTCTAATCAGCTGCTGTGAGGGCAAATGAGGGGAGAGAAGGGTAGATATTCAACACAATAATGCCTGGACTATTCCTGAATTGAAGAACTGGAGCTAAGGGAGGCCAGCAAAGATCCAGCAGTCACCAGCTGGCCCTGCAGGGTGGGGGAGAGACAAGAGCAATGAAATAGTGACTGCAGTGTTCCTGGGGTGTTTTCATTGCAGAACACTAGCATAGAAGTATATACATTTAAACGATGCACTTGTTGCTCAAAATACAGTGGAAAGGGTAGTATACAATATGCTGAACTCTGCTTCACTCTAGGGCTCTTTTCTGTATGGACAAATATTATCTAGTGTGCCCCATCCCAAGAAGTACAAATTTCCTATAATGGATCCACTTTTATACTCTCTATTTCAAGTCAAATTTCTTCCTGTTTCCAAATGGTGATTAGCTTATTCCCAGAAGCACTAGATGTCATGACAAATACAACTGCAGCTTTAATTTTCTATTGTAATTTTTTTTTGACCGCACCTCACGGCTTCAAGGATTCTCAGTTCCCCGACCAGGGATTGAACCTGGGTCACGGTGGTGAAAGCACCGAATTCTAACCACTAGACCACCAGGGAACTCCCTCTACTGTAATTTTTAACAATATTATTTATTTGATTCAAGCATTTATAAGTGCTCCCATAGAAATGTTCAAGTTGATATAGTAAACACTCATATAGCATATATCTGTACATATGCATGTACATATAAGGCACACATGTATTCATATCGTGTGTGCATGAAAAAAGAGAGAGAGAGAGAAATGAGAAGACAGGATTGCATAGGCTATCTCGGGAAAACGACGAAGATGAGGTCAGAGGAGTCTCATCCCCAAGTGATCAAGGTCCCATATCACAGTAGATGACATTTTGTTTGTAAGGTGTTATTCAGATTTCCCTTTTGATCTCTTGATTGAAACCCTGTAAGGCAGGTTATTTTCCCATTTAGATTTAAGCAAACGAAACACAGGATGATGAAGTGAGACATCAAAAACACTTGGGCAGGTGAAGGAAAAGACCACTTTTCTACACTCTTTCTACAGGGAAAC